TAGGTGATGTCTTGAAGTCCGTGATGGTTCAGGCTTTAGATAAATAGCGTGCGGCCGTTTGCGATGCCAGCACATTTGTAACAAATCAGATAGATATTTAGTTAGTGTCATCCAGGGTCGATATGTGCTTTCTTCAGCTTGTCCACGTGTACGATTCGTGGCTTATTGTTAACCTGTAACTTAACATTGTTATTAGGCAAAATTTCAATGATCTGGTAGGGTCCGGTATACTGATCTGCGAATTTATTTGTTCGAGGTTCCTTTAATAAATACACGTATAAACCTATCTCAAAATTTCGTGGATTTATCCTCTTGTCATAATAATACTTGCTTCTTTTTTTAGCTTGAATCAGGTTCAACCGAGCTTCGTGTTGGGTATTATATAATTTATTGAAAAGATCAGTTAAATAATCTTGATAAGTAATTTCTAAATTTCCTTCGAGGGGAATATAAGCGGAAGGTAATCGGGCTAGTCGACCGAAAACTAATTCAAAAGGTGAATATTTGGTTCCTTCATAAACGCTTGTATTGTAAGAAAATATGGCTAAATCAATATAATCATCCCATTCTCTTTCATTATCAACTTGAGTTCATAGATACTCCATCAAAACGTGATGAGATCTTTCAACAGATCCGTTTGACTGGGGATGATAAGCTGTAGTCTTGAAATGTTGTATGTTAAATTTCTTTGTTAAATTCTTCATAAGTGCAGATAGAAAATTTGTTCCTTGATCCGTAAGTATGGCCTTAGGGGCGCCATATATGCAAATAAATTTTTTAGCGAATGCGTTAGCAATCGATAGTAAAGTTGCAATATCGAGAGGTATTGCTACAGAGTATTTGGTTAACAGATCCTGAATTGTTAAAATATATTGATTTCCTTTATTAGTAATGGGAAGTGGTCCCATTATGTCCAAAGCTACTTTATCAAAGGCTGATCCAGGAGTATCAGTAATAATCATTGGCTGTTTGGTTTTTACTCGTGTTAATTTCTTTAATTGGCATGGCCGACATTTCCTAACAAAATCTTGTATGTCTTTCTTCATAGTATTCCAGTAATAATTGGTTCTTAATCGATTATATGTTTTATTTACTCCCTTATGACCGCTACATGCAGATGCACGATTCTCTTTTATTAAAGATTCACGTTCCCCAGGTTCGGGGGTTTGTATTAAATTTTTACAAACTGTTATATGCACTGGAATATCTTCAAAATGGTCACGAATTCTTTTTAATATATAATGCCACTGAAAGTCTTCAAAAGAGTCTGTTTTACTTATGCTGAATGAGTTTAGTTGAAGTTCCTTTACTACATCACGTAGAGATTGAAGGCAAGAATCTAAGGTATGAGCTTCTAACAGAGTTCTGTAATTTAATTTAATGGGAAGGGATATTAAAACGCATTTCCCTTTTATATTGCGCACGTTTGCCCTTTCGTACGACAAATTAGTATATCTTGGCAATAAATTTTGCTTTTCATATTCCTTTGCTCCGTCGTCGAAGGAATTTCCGTTTATATAAACGAAAATCACATGATTGTCCGTTTTATCTAGTAGATTCCCTCGGAATTCTATTATA